ACTTATCTAACACATGGGATCTTATTATCGTGGAGTTGAATACCCATGTCAACAAGCTGTCAGATCGGAAGATACTGTTAGTTTGTTCTGTGTGAAATGAAATGGTAAAAGTCAGGAAACATTTTTATTGAAAAATAGAGGGTGGCTGGCACAATATTGAAATGTTGACGAACTGCTTTTTGACGGGAACGCGAGGAGTGGAGTTTGTGATTTGTTTTATTTTGTCTACTTAGTGTTTCTTCAGGTTTAAATGTGTAATAAGGGTGGTTAATTAACTGTTTAATATCTGTGAAAGTGCACAAAAGTGGGAAAATGAAACAAAGCTGCTGGACGTAGCTTCTCGGGATCCTCCAAATAGTAAACTGAAAATCTCAGTAAATGACCACAATTTTACTGAGATTATATTTCATCCCATATCATCTCATTTCATTTAATTTCATCTCATTTCCTATCACTCCATACTATTATTTTTCTTATGTAAAAATAAGAATATAAATTAAAATAAGACATGACCTTAAAGGTCTTAGTTACCAGGTCATAAAATCCCTTTTAGAAATGTCGACAAACTGAACACCTGAATCGTCCGTGAAAACTTTAAAAAATTCGAAGCGTCCAAAATATTAATACTAATAATATACTAATAATAATACAATAAGGACAGAGTATATAAGAAAGGCGAAATCAAGCCTTTAAAGTAGTTTTAATCAACTTTGTACGATGTTGAAGCTTTACATTCATTTCATTTACGAATTATCAAGCTGCTTTCAGACTACGCTATAATAATATAATGCCATATAGTATAGCAGCTTATAGTAAGCCAATAATATATAGTACAGTGTGAACGTGTCCATAACAATATAAGGTGCACGATATTGCTGTGCTATGAGCTATAAACTATATGCTATTATTTTATAGCGTAGTCTGAAAGCAGCTTCATTTGCCACTTATCGCCCTTTCAGTCCCGCCCCTAGTCACCTATATCAATGACATTCGATTTCAAAGTAATCGATTGAACAGAAGTGTGTCTTAAAATCGTAATAAGCCGATAAACTTTGACATTTAAAATACTATAAACGGCTGATACTAAGGGCTTAATATCGAAAGTTGAATTCGTCTTTCAACGTTTTGAGCTACTGAGGAAATTCCTTAGGATACCTAAAATCGAGTGACAAGAACAAATTTAGATTCTTTAATGTTGTCATTAAAATACGTAGGATAGATTCCAAATTGAAAGTTTTACGATTAATCTCGGACTAGACATTGGAGGCTGCCGATTTAAGAGAGGACACGACAGGGGGCGATCACCTCTGAGCGCTCTCAACTGGATCCAATCCAAACATACGAATACTTTTACTCATTTATTTTGATTCAAGCGTTCGCAGCCATACACGTTATAAAAACTATTATTTAAAAGGTTCGTACCATAATTATAACTTGCTTTTTAGAACATTTATCTAAATACCCACAGACACAGCCCACTGAGTTTCTCGCCAGATCTTCTCAGCGGGTCGCGTTTCCGATCCGGTGGTAGATTCTGCGAAGCCCGGCTCTTGCTAGGGCCAGTGTTAGCAACACTCCGGTTTGAGCCCCGTGAACTCACCAACATGTTAGGGTGAAGCTGAAATAGCCTCTCAAGGCTATCAGCATAGCTAGAAAAAATTATTAAATACTTGAGAATTACTGGATTATTTAAAAATTTGTTTAAAATGTTTGTAATAATTCAGACTATAGTAATGTTTATCAAGAAACAACAGTTATATTAAAATTTCATTGTAAAATTGATTGATTTACGAAAACGATCAAAAACTGAATTGATTAACTTAAGTCACGATCAGCCGATTCAGCTAGTTTCAAACAAATGAAAACGTTCTATTCATATTTTTTTAGCTCGTCCATTCTCGTTGGTACCGGAATAGATATTCGATTCAGTCTAAAAAAGGATTTCAGTTACATTAGATGGGCCGTGAATCCGGCTGCTATCTAGCTGAAAAAACCTTGTGACGCGGACTGAAAATCCTAAAATTTATTTTATTTTTTAAATTGGATTATGCTATAGTATTGTAATAAATTTATAATGATAAAGCGAGAGTACACTGTAAATTTTAAATAATTGTCGCGTTTTCACTATTCGCGGATTAAAAAAATACGACCTAATTGCTATATTCGCGGCTAGATTTCTTTCTTCGCGGATTTAATAGGTATACATCCAGTACATATAAATTGATACAAAAGATTCCAATATGTAGGTAGGTAACCGAATATTTTATGTAAACGCGTCATCAAATTGACTAATAAAAAATAAAACAGACCTAAAGACCTAAACAAACTATGCCTAAAGTCAATACCGTCTTTACCATAAGGGCACACGGGGCCCGTGCCCAGGGCCCCTATTCTCAGGGGGCCCCGAAGGACCGACAATTTCTCTCACACATTTATTCTTAAAACATTTTTGTCGGGCACATTACACTTTTTTCACAAATCAGTAATCTTATCAGAATTTTATTATTATTATTTACAAGGCATATACTACGCCATTACATCGATGACTGCGCCTATTCCTACTGTACTAACATGGAGGATAGAGGTAAGGAGTACCGTCTCTGTGTGTAAAAAGTGTCCGTTAAAATCTGTTAAATAAGGGTGGCGCTACAGTAGCAACCGGGTAAATTTAAAAAAAGGCACCGAAAGTTATTAGAATAAGATAGAGACATAAAAGAGGACGAAAGAACTGTAAGCACTACAAAATCGCAAAAAGTATTTTATTTAAAGCTGATAAGAAAATACAATCGATGTCTACACGTTTTACCACAGTAGGAAATAATTTTAGTTTATATTGATGAAATTAGTTTGGAAGCCGTTATCGAAATCGTAACCAAAAAACCAGCAGCATTCTAATATCATTAATGACATATTATATCATACTGTATTTGATTACCTTTATTAAATGGTCATACTCAGTAAAAAAATGTTATTAATATTCGCTCTTTTTACTTTCCAAAGGGACCTCAAATTCTTGTTTTTTTTATTTATTTTTTATTGCCTTTGTAGGCAGACGAGAATACGGCCCACCTGATGATGAGTGGTTACCGTCGCCCATGGACTTCAGCAATGCCAAGGGCAGAGCCAAGCCGCTGCCTACCGCTTGTGTGCCCAAGGGCCCCAGCCTAGTTTAAGACGTCCCTGCCTAAAGTATGTTGTTAAATAATATCGCCTAAGAACGTATCCCCTATAATCCTATATATGTAAATTCACATATTCACAATATCTATATTCGCGGCATTTTTTTTTACGGAACATCTCATCATCTGATGCATAGCACATGTAGTGTTTTCATATGTGTGATCCTAATCCAGGCAACAACGTCAACGTACATCGGTTCACCAAATGTTTAGTGTTCATGCTGTGCCGACTCCAAATTAGGATTTTCTCCTGTGTTATTGGTCCCGGTAAACATACTACTAAGTCGAGAATTGGTAGCTACATCTGAACCTCGAATACCAAATATTATGAGTACCGGCTACGACCCCTGATGCAAGTAGCCAACGCCGCAACTTCCTTACTGAACAAAGAAAGATGCCAATATTTGTCATACATATTTTTTTTCCTACTTATTCTAGTAACCTCGAGGGGTTATTCTAGATTCGCCGAGCTTATAGGTGAGCTTACGGGGCTCAAACCTGACGACGTTGCTAACACGAACCCTAGCAAGAGCCTTGCTTCGCAGAATCTACCACCGGATCGGAAACGCAACCCACTGAGAAGATCCGGCGAGAAACGCAGTGGGCTGTGTCTGTGGGTTAATTTACCCGAAGGGCTCGACGAGAACGATGACCGGTGCTTGGGGTACCTAAAAGCACCGTTAGTGGATAGGGAGAATCCGAAATTACGTGTTTTGGGCGACGTTGACTGCTTTCCATTCGGTCCGCAGGGTTGGGAATGTACATATTTCTGGCAGCGTGAATATTGGAAAAAAATATATTGAATAAAATATATCCAGCCAAATAACAACGAACATAATCATATACAAACAAAAAAAAAGCATATCCATTTCATCATACAATTCGTATCGTTCAATGAACGAACCGTGATTTTTCCGTAGCAATGAATTTCAATCAAATTCCTGTTCGAACGATGAGAAACAATAAATGTGAAGCATCCGCTATTTGCTTCGGAAATGTTTTCGAATTTGAAAAGAGATTGTTTAGAGAAATGGTTCAGAGAATGGTTATGATAAAATTTTTATGAGATACGAAAAATATTTAAAGAATAAACAGCGTGGAACGAAACAAATGTATAAAGGTTTTTGAATAACAACACAGAGAAAGGTTTGTTGTTATTAAAATTATTATCTAAACTGAATTCTAATGAACAGGAAGAATGTTTTGCAGAGATACCTATCTAATGAAATTTATTATCTAGAAGGCCGTTTTTAATTGTTTTTTTTATTGCGAAGATAAGTTGACCAAACGAGGCACATGTATGCGCGCGGAACGTTTTTTTCAAAAGATAATTAATTTCGTAAAACATCACTTAGATAAAAAATGTAATGTTGATGAAAATATCCGTAACTTTCTTTCTTTAAAGTTTCATATCTGGAACTCATGATCAGACGAAGTCCGCGGTTCCAATATGAATGCTAACATTCATCTTTTTAAGTCAGATATTAATACTGCTATGGATGCTTGGGTGTTGAATTTAAATACGTAACATTTTGAAACTGTGGCTGACGATTGTTCGTTCACCACAATGACTCTTTTCTATAATACCACTCCACAATACATGTGTCATGTGAAGATACTTTACTGTATAAGCTGTGGATGACAGGTACGGGGGACGGCATGAGACATTAAAGATGGCGTGTGAATACTTGCGTTTCAATACAGTTATCCTAATAATCATAATTAATTAAATACAGTTATTACAACATGGTACGTACAGTATTAAAGGCGCTAAATAAACTCAAATAAGTTAGGTACACCTATGTTGTTGATTAATTCCAGGATCAACATTCAGAGGGCGCCACCACTCCTCGCGCGGAGGACAAGTCCGGAGGACGCTCACCGGCCGCGCATGAGGGTATCGTAAGAATTCTATAAGAGCAAATTCACTCAGACATTAACTTACCTTCATCAAAAACACCGTCCGAATGTATTCGATCTCATGTACCAAGATTACGTTACGTTACGTTGGTCTATGGGTCGTTCTGTGTACTTAGTGCGAGTTTTTTAACGTTCTCGATAGCGTAAAAGTTAGCTCATATTTGTATGGAATGGGATGGTTTGCCTGCGTTTGTCGCTAGGGGCGCTGTTCCAACTGCATATAAAATTGGGTTAACTTTTGCGCTATCGATCCATAAACATCTTCACTGATCACGTCTCGACAGCGATCATAAGATCTTCAAAACAAGTCGATGTGGAGGACTGCTTCCACCGCATCAGACTTTCCCTCGAGCTTAGGGACCTCGTAAGAATCAGAAACGCGGCAATACGGGCCTACGATCGATATCCCACGGATTCAAACCGGACTCGGATGCGTAGCTTACAGCGGGAGGTCAAATCCCGCTTAAGCGACGCCCGAAACGAAAACTGGGATAGTTATTTAGAAGAACTCGCGCCCACTCACCAAGCATACTGGCGACTAGCTAGGACCCTCAAGTCCGAAACTATCGCTACTATGCCGCCTCTCGTACGCCCCTCAGGCCAACCACCGGCTTACGATGACGATGACAAGGCAGAGTTGCTGGCCGATGCACTGCAAGAGCAGTGCACCACCAGCACTCAACACGCGGACCCCGAACACACCGAGCTAGTCGACAGGGAGGTCGAGCGCAGAGCTTCCCTGCCGCCCTCGGACGCGTTACCCCCCATTACCACTTCCGAGGTTAAGGAGGCGATCGATAGCCTACAACCACGGAAAGCTCCCGGCTCCGACGGCATCCGCAACCGCGCGCTTAAATTGTTACCAGCCCAACTGATAACGATGTTGGCCACCATATTAAATGCTGCTATGACGAACTGCATCTTTCCCGCGGCGTGGAAAGAAGCGGACGTTATCGGCATACACAAGCCGGGCAAACCGAAGAACGAAACCGCGAGTTACCGCCCCATCAGTCTCCTCCCGGCGATAGGCAAACTATACGAACGGCTCCTTCGTAAACGCCTCTGGGACTTCGTATCCGCGAA